CCAAGCCTGGACCAAGTTCTTTAGAGTTGGACGACAATGTGCCTGTGTGATTGATTACAGTAAGTGAGATTGTTGGGCTTTTGGTGATGAAAGATCATTCTGTTTCGGGCTTGAACCAGGACTGGTTAAGTCCAATTGAGGTTGCTGGTTATTAGCTTCTTCTTGGTTTACGGTTTAGTTAATAACCGAAATGATTCTTTGTAATTAGCTTAAGTATATAGCTAAGGCGTGAATGTCATCTCTCTCAGATCGGAGAATTGAGTTATAACTGAGAGAGAGAGGTCAATCTTGTAATAGGAAAAGATAGTGGATTGCCAGATAATCTCCAGGCCGAGACGTAGGGTTTCAAATTCCGTGAACTTGAACTCGTAAAATTCTCTTGTGTCATTTCGATTCTGTTCTTGCATTTCGTTTAGCTCAAATTCATCTTCTTTATCTTCTTTGAGAGTCTTAGAGAGATCGAGAGTTACAATACAAAGGTACAAATCGGTGTTTCATTCACTACAAGTGGTATCAGAGCTTCGTTGGAGCGATGAGCAAAGCAATGGCGAAGGTCACAGTCGCCGAGTTCGATGGTACCGGAGATTTCTCAATATGGAAGAAGAGGATGCCCGCACATCTATCGCTCATGGGACTCAAGGATGTTCTAATCGAATCTGTCCCTGAAACGAAGGCGATGAAAAAGGGCGAAGATCCAGAAGTATACAAAGATCGACTACAACTCGAAGAGATCAACAAGCTCGAGCGAGCTGAAAGGGCCATGAACATGTTGGTTCTGAATACAGATCAAGTTCTGAGAAAGCTGGAAGAGTATACAACGGCGAGTGAGATCTGGGTAGCTCTTGAAAGGTTGTACAACGTGCAAACGCTTCCGAATAGAATTAATCTCCAGCACAAGTTCTACACCTTCAAGATGACTGATTCGAAGTCCATTAATCAGAATATCGATGACTTCTTTAAGCTAGTATATGGATTAAGCAGTGTGAAGGTCGTTGTTACAGAGGAATTTCAAGCCATCCTGTTGTTAAACTCGTTACCAGCTGCGTATAGTTCTCTTAAGGAGACCTTGAAATACGGAAGAGAGACTCTAACCATTGAGTCAGTCATGAATGCAGCTAAGTCTAAGGAGATTGAGCTTAGAGAGGTTAAAGATCTCATTTAACTCTCAGAAGGGTGGAGAAGCTCTTGCTGCTCGTGGAAGATCAGAAAGAAGAGAGTCTGGCAATAGAAAGGGAAAGAGCAGATCAAGATCAAGCTCAAGTTCTAAGGTGACTTGCTGGTACTGCAAGAAGGAAGGACACAAGAAAGCTGATTGTTTTGCTCAGAAAAGGAAGATGAAGTCTGATGAGGGTGCTGAAGCAGCCGTAGTGATAGACGCATTACAAGACACCAATGCTCTGACGGCTTCTGGAGACTGGCACCAATCATAGACACGGGATGCTCCTACCACATGACGTCACGACGTGACTGGTTTAATGAGTTTGAGGAAGTGACATCAGGGAAGGTTCTTCTTGGAGATGACTTCTCTGTGGAGGTCAAAGGCAATAAACATCAAAGCGTATGGAGGCACAGTTAAGACTCTATCCAATGTTAGGTACGTTCCTAAACTAAAACGGAACCTTCTCTCGACTGGAACAATGGATAGATTAGGCTTTGATCATGCTGGTGAAAATGGAAAAACTAGGTTCTATAAGAACAAGAAACTAGCTCTTTAAGGTACTCTTGTTGGAACTTTGTATTTGTTGGATGGTGAAACTGTAACAGGTGAATCTAACAGTAGTGTCTCTAAGAAGTTGGCAAATGACGAGACAGTTCTATGGCACAGACGCCTCGGGCATATGAGCCTGAAGAATCTGCGAATCCTGGCTCAGAAAGGGATCATTGACAAGCAAAGGATTGGGGATATGAGTTTCTGTGAGAGCTGTGTGATGGTAAAACACAAGAAAACTAGTTTTCACATCGGGAAGCATGACACAGGAGAAACGCTCAAGTATATCCACTCAGATCTATGGGGCTCTCCAAATGTGACACCGAGTATGTCTGGAAAGACATATTTTCTATCTATAATAGACGATTACACGAGGAAGGTGTGGGTGTTCTTCTTGTCTGCAAAGAGTGAAGCCTTTGAAAGGTTTGTTGAGTGGAAGAAACTTGTTGAGAATCAAGTCAGTAAGAAGGTGAAGTGTCTACGAACCGACAACAGCTTGGAGTTCTACAAGACTGAGTTTGACAGCTTCTGTAAACGGTACGGGATTGAAAGGAATCGTACCTGTGCGTATACTCCTCAGAAGAATGGTGTAGCCGAACGTATAAATAGGACCATAATGGAAAAGGTCCACTGTATTCTTGACGAGAGTGGTCTTGAAGAAGGGTTTTGGGCAGAAGCGGTCTCCACTGTAGTATACCAAATCAACAGAAGTCCATCGTCAGCAATAGATAACATCATTCCCGAGGAAATGTGGCTTGGAAAGAAGCCCGGATACAAACACTTGAGGAGGTTTGGATCTGTAGTCTATGTTCATAAGGATCAAGGAAAGCTAAAGCCAAGGGCTCTGAAGGGTATTTTTTTGAGCTATCCACCAGGAGTCAAAGGTTACAAGATTTGACTTCTGGAAGAGGAAAAGTGTGTAATCACTCGAAATGTTAAATTTGTAGAAGATCAGGTCTACAAAGACCTAAAATGTAGCAAGTGTGAGGAGACTTCGGAGACTGACAAAGGAGTTAATAGTCAGGCCAAGACAGTAATTGAGTCTTGGGTCAGTTCTGAGAATCAGGAACAGAACACGATCTCAGGTGGAGAAACTGAGACAGGGCCGGTATATGTCAGTGATTCAGAGTCTGATGAAGAAGCAACAGGTGTTGATACAGTTTCTAGTCCAGTCCAGAGAAGTAGTCATCAGGCAGTGAGGGAGAGACCAAACAGAAAGACAGCTCTTCCGGCCAAGTTTAATGACTATGACATGTTATCGTTTGCATTCGTAGCAGCAGCAGAGATAAATTCATAGGATCCGAGAGACTACCAAGAAACTATGAGAAGCGAAGATAAAGATTTATGGGATGGAGGTATAGACGAAGAAAGGGATTCTTTGGAGAAGAATAAAACATGGAGACTAGTTGAGAGGCCCACTAACAGGAAGGTCATAGGCTGTAAATGGGTCTATAGACTGAAACCAGGGGTACTCGGAGTGGAGAAGCCTAGACATAAAGTTCGGTTAGTGGTGAAAGGTTACTCGCAGAAGGAAGGCATCGACTATCAGGAAGTTTTTTCACCTGTGATGAAACACGTTTCTATAAGGTTTCTGTTATCCATAATAGTTAACCAAGACCTCGAGCTTGAACAGCTTGACGTGAAGACTGCTTTCCTTCACGATCTTATAGAAGAGGAAATCTACATGGAACAGCCAGAGGGATACAAGGTCAATGGAAAAGAGAAACATGTCTGCTTACTGGAGAAGACTCTATACAGGTTAAAGCAAGCTCCTAGACAGTGGAATAAGTGTTTTGATCAGTATGTGGTTAGTCATGGGTTTGAAATGAGCAAGTTTGATCATTGCGTGTATATAAAAAGGGGAAAAGATGGAGCACTCGTCTATTTACTTCTATATGTAGACGATATGCTTGTGGCTTCTAAGGAAATGGATGAAGTCAAACTTGTCAAGGATCTGCTAAACAAGCATTTCGAGATGAAAGACCTAGGTCCCGCAAGTAGGATTTTAGGCATGGATATTCACAAAGATAGAGTGAATGGTGTATTGTCTTTGTCTCAGTCCAGCTATGTGAAGAAGATCCTTCAGGTGTTTAATATGGATGAATCAAAATCAGTCTCGACACCTATTGGTTCTCACTTCAAGTTGTCAGCAATAAAGGATGATGAAGAGGAGACAGTCATGGATGACGTGCTGTATGCTAATGCCATCGTAAGCATTATGTATACGATGATTGGCACTCGTTGCGACTTAGCTTATGCAGTGGGATTGGTCAGCAGGTACATGAGCAAACCGAGTATGGTTCACTGGACTGCAGTTAAATGGGTTATGAGATACTTGAAGGGAACACAAAACTTGAAGCTAGTTTTGAAAGTAGAAGGGTTTTGTTATTCTGATTTCGCTTCAGACCTTGACAGAAGAAGATCAATATCAGGCTATGTTTTCACAGCCGGTGGAAGTGCTATCAGCTGGAAGTCAAGCCTTCAACATGTTGAAGCAGTAAAGGAAGGCATCTTGCTGAAGAGATTAGCAGAAGAGTTTGGGTTTAAGCAAGAATCAGTTGACATTTGCTGTGATTCTCAAAGTGCTCTATATCTGGCGAAGAATAATGTTCATCATGAGAGAACAAAGCACATCAGTAGAAAGCTGCATTTCATCAAAGACATAGTTGCTGAAGGAGAAGTAAAGCTGAAAAAGATTTGCACGTCTAAAAATCCAGCCGACATGTTAACTAAAGTGCTTCCCGTAGATAAGTTTGAGAAGGCTTTGAGTTTTCTCGGTTTAGCTCAGCACTAAGGTGTTTGGAGTTACCTGGAGATGTTCACGTTTACTAGGATCGCTTAGCAGAACAGAGTTGATCGTCATCAAGGTGGAGTTTGTTGGGCTTTTGGTGATGAAAGATCATTCTGTTTCGGGCTTGAACCAGGACTGATTAAAGCCAATTGAGGTTGTTGGTTATTAGCTTCTTCTTGGTTTACGGTTTAGTTAATAACCAAAGTGATTCTTTGTAATTAGCCTAAGTATATAGCTATGGCGTGAATGTCATCTCTCTCAGATCGAAGATAACTGAGAGAGAGAGGTCAATCTTGTAATCGGAAAAGATAGTGGATTGTCGGATCTAACAGGCCGGGACGTAAGGTTTCAAATTCCGTGAATCTGAACTCGTAAAATTCTCTTGTGTCGTTTCGATTCTGTTCTTGCATTTCGTTTAGCTCAAATTCATCTTCTTTATCTTCTTCGAGAGTCTTAGAGAGATCGAGAGTTACAATACAAAGGTACAAATCGGTGTTTCATTCACTACAGAGAGACAGAGACAATATAAGGTTCATAAGAAAGCAAAATGCAGAAATAGAGAAAAAATTTTGGTAAAAGAATTGAAATCTTACATGGGCACGAAGAACAGCTTCTGCGAGCATTCCTGTGTCTTGCCATGCCTTCTCCATGAGCGCATTGTCTCCCAGAACTGCAGCAGAAAATGATGATTCTCGCCCCAGGCCTATGGAGATCAGATTGTTTATCAGGCCCTGCAACAAAGTTAAAAATGGTCTTCCTATTAGGGACCTGCAGATACAAAGTATACTATTCCCAAGTTATAAAATTTTAACTTTCAAAACCACATTTTTTCCGTCTACAGTTATTTATGTAGATCCTAGCTAGTGAACAACACAACCGTCTTTAGATTTCTTAGGTATCCTAAAATACCAGAAACCAAATTTGAAAAGAGAAAATACAAACATACACTTAGGCGTGTCAATTCTCCATGGTTTGCTAGGCGTAATGCAAGGCCTAGTAACTCATGACCCTGTAAAGCGCCTTTAACCGAACCTGCAGGCAGTGGCTAGTCTTTTGAGAGCTTCGCGAGCAATCTCGGCGTGCCCAGTGGCATCTGCAGCATCTATAAGGTCAAGAACCTCCTTTGCAAATTGCACTCTTCCCTCCACAACTTCAACATCTTTTTTCTTCTCAGCAATCAAAGAGAGAATGTCACTCAATTCAAGGCCTACACCGTCCTGTCCAATACTCCTGCTATTACTCATTGTGAGAAGACGATGAAGAGCCCTCTTCACATCATTGCTCTGTATCGCTAGGTCAAAGTCCAGCCTGCAAACCACATTCACAAAAAGGGTATATGTCGAACAGTTACATATACAAAAGGGGATATGTCGTGGAGCTACAATAATAATACCAATTAAATCATATACATATTTATTATATATTTGCTTAGTAGATAGATTAATTAGAATTAGGTCTGAAAATTAATCCCTAAAATATTCTTAATAAAAATCTAAGAAAAAGAGTAAAATACAATGACACAAATCGTAATAAACATTGAAGTGATTCTCAAATAATAGTATGTATATTTATGCATTTTGTGGAAAAGAGTTTGTTTTCTTGATCATTGTATATATAATTATTGCGTGCACAAACTAATTGTTTTACTAATGTAAAACAATTTTAAGGTCTGTATTAGAAAAGAAAGTTGTATATATTTTGACAAAAATGAACGTAAACTGCCAAGCTGGATCCAAACCAATTAAAAAAGAATAGTTTTATTTTTAAGAAACTACATATCCAGCTGGAAAATGATCAATTTATTCCTCAACATTTTAGCTTGGCAAATTTATTTCCAAATTTGTTCACATGCAAAGTAATTTGCAAAATTTACGTTGACTACGCAAAAAATTAGATTTGTGAAAAAGCAACGTTAACTCAACATATAAAATAGATAATTTTTATAATGATCCATTTCATAATCATGAAACATGACTTCTCATAACAGGCATTCACTAATATGCAATATGTCAGTAATTTGTATTTTGTCTGCTATTATTCTGTCAATTACATTCAATTGTATGGTTAGTCAGTATGTATTTAGTCTGTTAAAACGTAAATTTATAAAAATCATAAAAAATGGTCATTGTTATAGATTGAAAGCACACTGTTGGATCTCTCTTATAAATCATTTTAGAAACTATTATGTTTCATAATAAAATTGGTAAATAAAATATTTCAAAACTTATTTATATACAAAAAATGTTTCAAAATAACCCTTAGTGAGGAAATGTTAAATGTCCCATACAGAGAAAATGTTCTACAAATAAAAGTAATTATAAGAATAGTGCTAATATTTATAAAAATCGTAAAAAAATATTATTTTCACAATATGTTTTTGGTGGGATACTTTTTATATTATTTTCTTAAATAGGGTAATTTTGGAATATTTCTCCTATTATATTTTGATGATAATGTTTGTTAAGGATGGGTAATTGTTATGAAAGTTGTAATATATTCTAGCAACTGTATGATGAATGGTAATTTTAATCCCACCAAATCATAAGGTGAAGAATGAAGATTACGTGTTAGAGTGAATAATCTTAATGATTCTTGTTTTATCCAGGCCCGATTCCGAGGGATAGCGAAAGGGGCACAGATCCAGAGCCCACTTCAAATTTTTAAAAAATTGTAAACAAAAAAAGGTCCAAAATTTTGTACGTCTTGTGTTATGATTGTTTCTTGTGCCAACGTCAAACTTCTCGTTTTAAGAAAGTTTGTTCTTTTTTTGCTAGGGAGAAAGTTTGTTCTTCGCTTATCAAATATATAGCAGTAGCACCCATGTAATTAACAATAACAATCCCGTAAAAGACATTTAAACGCTAAAGCATTTCAACACTTAAATAATCACTCGGGTTTTAACTTAAGTCTAGTATATCTTAAGTCATCAGTCTCTTTAATCTGTAGATTTTAAATTCAAGTTGTTAATAAAAGTTTGTTCATTTATTGGTGGGCGCAGAGGAAGTCGTGAATCATACAACGAAGTTAAATGAAACAATCTTCGCTATGAAACGTATTCCTGTTACTGCGATGGGCTTTGAATCTCAGAACAGCCGTGACAACTCTAATGGCTGACAGAAACAAAAAAACAAAAAAAATACCCTCATTTGTAAAAACAAAATCTTATAATAATAAATATAACTGTCATAAAGTGAACACAATAAAATAAAACCATATAAACTAAAATATAGTTTTAAAACTGATATTTTTTCCTTTTTTTATAAATTTTTTGACCAAAATTTTAAAATCATCAACTAATTATAGATAAAAACTATATAGAAAAATAATAAAATAATTAAAAGGAAGAAAATGAAAAAAAAATTACTTTAATTATAATTAATTGTTGGAGAAATATTTAAAAACTTTGTACTGATAAACTTTATTTTTCAATATTAGATCAACGCAAATAGAAAATATGAAAAAAGGAAACTACATAGCCTATTTTTTTTCCTTTTAATCACTCTAATTCTAATTTTTGTTTATAATAAGTTAGTATCAATTTGTTGGTAACTTCTATTTTGCAAACCCACATATATGTAATATGGTATAGACCTATATCCATATTTGAGATTAATATATACAATATAACATCATATTATTAATTGAGAAGCAAGTTAGGCTGTGGTTGAGAGTTATATGGTTGATTACTTTTTACTCCTCATATAAATTTACTTTAATTATCCTTATTAAAAATATTAATTGAAATTTCATATAGTTTTATAAATGAGATTAATAAATCATGTTAAATCATGGGCCATAAAAAACAAAGATTGTATCGGAAGTTTCGTGGGCTCAAGTCAAATACGCCAGTCATAATAAACCCTAGGTGTATTGATTTAGGTTTTGAGATTAAAATTTTGTCCTAAGTTACAGAAAACCCTAATTTTTAAACTTATATATATGGATCACAAATTCTCAAGCTGGTTCTAAAGCTACAAAACAGCATAATGGATAATTATAATTATTGTAGATTAAACTAAACATTGTGTATGTACCGATTTTGATGATGTAGTTTGGTTTAATTTGTTTCATGGGCTTTTAGTGTTCGAATCCTAAGTTAATTCAGTTTAGTTAGCTTCTCCGTTTGTATATCGATTTACAGAAAACCCTAATTTTTAAACTTATATATATGGATCACAATTCTCAAGCTGGTTCTAAAGCTACGCAACAGCATAATGGATAATTATAATTACTAGGTATTTATCTGCGCTATGCTGCAGGATATTTTTTAAATTTTTTATATATTTTTAATATAATAAAATTATTTTTATAATGTAAATGAATATTATTTTTTTTCATTAGCTTAAGTTATGTATTTATATGTTTTAAATCTATATAAACATTATATATATTTTTATTTATTTATTTTTCAAAATTATAATTTGCTATTAAATTTAGTTAGCTAACTAATTATAAATGTATATTAAAAATAAAATATATAAAAATAAAGCAATACATTTTTGAAAATGTAATCTATTTTCTCCAATCAATTGCCACATGATCCTTCTTTGTAATTATATAAAGCAAAATATCATTCAAAAAAAGATTTATTAATTAATATGATTATTTTAAATTATGAAATTTATTTATTTGTAAAATATTTTATTATAAATATATGTTTCTAAAACTACCAATCTATAATCAATAACATTCATATCAAAACCATTGCTATTGCTTTTAGAACTAAATAGAAAATTATGTTTGAACTCTTAAAATATAGTTTTAGTTAAAATTAAATAATTAAATTTTGGTTACTGTAAACATACTTTAACATGGAAATTTAGCATAGAGAAATTTCATCTTCTTACAAAAATCGAGAAATCGTATTTCCCGTCAAAACAAAAAAAACTTCATTTTCCCATTAAACTGAGAAATCGGCTATTCCCGCCAAAACTAAAAAATTCCTGCGAAAACAAAAATTTCTCGTCAAGACCATCACGCTTTCCTACAAAAACAAATAAACTACAATTTCTCGCGAAAATAAAAAATTGCTTTATCTCTCGTAAAATTGTGTTTTTCCACGAAAACTAAGAAATTGTTATGTTTTTATCGGTTCAAATTTTTGCTGATGTGTGAGCTTCTTATAACATAAGGCTATTTGTGTTATTGTCATAGAAGCATAGTTGATGCTGAGCCTACACTTTTTCAGTCATATACGTCTATGTCAAACAAACTGATAGCTAGAATTTTTTTTATTATTTATTTGTTGTTATTTATTATTTAGATTTGGTTTTGGCAAAAAAAAAGAAAACAATAATTTAACTTTTTATTTATTTTTATTTATTATTTGGGTTTAGATTTGGTAAAAAAATAAAATTATTAATTTGTTTGGGCTTGTGTTTGGTAAAAAATAAAACAAAAATTAATAGAAAAAATACTTGGGTTTTTAATGGGTTTAAGATTAAAAATTAAAATAAGTAGATAAGATGTATTAATAAAATGTTTTGATTGGTGATTATTTTTACTGAGGTGTCATGTTTATAAAGCTTAAAAAAATTGAGGTGTCAAGCCATGAAGAGACTTTAGTGTTATTGTTGTGTTGATTGTAGATTAAACTAAACATTGTGTATGTACCGATTTTGATGATGTAGTTTGGTTTAATTTGTTTCATGGGCTTTTAGTGTTCGAATCCTAAGTTAATTCAGTTTAGTTAGCTTCTCCGTTTGTATATCGATTTACAGCTAAACCTATTTCTTAAGTCAATACTCTTATTCTTTATGTTATATATATTGTTAGCCATCTCTAGGTTATTTCATATTTTTAGCATTCTTAGTCCTTCTTTACTTTATTTTGTGTGTGTTTATTATGCAATGTTTTTGTGTCTCTACCTTAATGTAACTGATAAGTGTTTTGATGGTGTAGATCGTTATGTTTTGAAGTTGCGTTTCAATCCACAAAGTATTGTTTCTTATTAATGTTGTGATTTCCTTGAGTGTCCTTGTGATAGTTTTCTTGTGTTCTTATTGTATTATATTGAACTGTGGCTTCGTTCAATATTGGGCACGGTACATTCTTTAGTTAATCTATTTTTTTTTCTGTATTTGTTATTCTTTTTCTTATTCTTTAATTCTTTAATTTAATTTGTTTGTGTCTTATTCATTTATCGTTTTCTTTTCTCTGTGTTTTTTGCATATGGATCGGTGCAGAGCCGTGCCTAAAAGTTTTATTTGTGAGTTTTATTTGTCCTAATTAATATATTGGATCT